TCAGAGAACCCATCTACCATGAGCTTTGCGTGAAGTTCTACTCCACATTTGTGAACGAGCAACCCAAGGCATAAAAAATCAGCCTTTTGTGGAGTTCATGCTCGGTCGGGTCCACCACGCCATCGAATACAACTCCCTAGCCCAGGATTTATGTCTCAACATCGGGATCATGATAATATCTGAGAAGGTCTATACCCGGGATTTCTAGCCCAGCATGTGTACGAGGTGATTTGCCTCTGGGAGGAAAGACACCAGTAGTACCATGCCTCCCACATCAGGTTATCCCATTTCTGAACCTAGTGGAGGATTCTCCAAATGCTCCTCACACACTCGGTGGTTCCGAGTCTCAAGCTGGCAGGTAGGTTACTCTGCGAGAGATTGTGGCACTTCATACCATGGGTCGACCCCGAGAACCACTACATCTTATATTTGTTCCTCTTTTCTATCATTTTTATAAAATATATATCTTTAAATTAGGCACAGTTAGTGTACAAAATCCAATTTAACGGTTGTAATTTGGAAGGAAAGATCTAATGGTCCATATCATAAAGGGTTAAGAAAGGAAATAAGGAATTTAAGGGGAGCTCACCGGATTTTGGGTGAACCGACTCGGATTCCCAGGCGCCTGTTAATGCACTTTTTAAATATCTTACGAAAATTCAACGAACCTTAACTTATTTGTTTTACATCGGTTAAAAAAAATTGCACAAAAAAATCTAATTTTTTGTTCTCCAGGAGATGATATCCATTTTTATATTTTTTATCAAATTTTTTACGTCATCTTACCATTGTCATATCACGATATTATCACTGATAGGTTTATGATAACACAGTGGTATAATGTTGATAAGATAATGGTATGATATTGATATGATGTTGGTGTGATAGTGATATGATGTTGGTATGAGATCTTATGTTTGGCAAAATAATTTGATGACATCATGGCTATGTCATATCATTGATAATATCTCCCATAGTGATAAACTGATAATATTAGTGTCTATAGTGATAATATCAGTGATATGACACTGATGTGGTGTTGGTATGAGAGTTTATGTTACAAAACATAACAAAATGTATATCATTGTGTAGATCATAATTAATATGTTATTTGTATACAATTTTTTTTAATTCTGAGTTAAAATTAAGGAAATGAGTCTTTATCATTGTCATATCATGATATTTACACCGATAGTGGTATGATATGTTACATCCCGACATTTGAAGTCTAGGTTCGACTGAACAGTTCGATTGATGATTACATACGAAGGGTTCGACCATATATTAGAGATAATAATAATAATAATAATAATAATAACTATTATTATTATTATTATTATCATAATAATCACCACTCACCTTATCCCCCACTTATTCCCCCGTTACCTCATCAATTAATCATCACCCACCTTATTCCACCGTTACCTCAATTAAACCCCACTCCTGAAACGTTTTCCCCTCTCAATAATATTAAACCCAGCAAAGAGAACTGAAGGGAAGAAAGATATAAAGAAAACAATCTTTCCTCATCGTCATTACCATTCCACCGTAGGCAACCAAGTTTTCCCGCGAGAGCAATCGATCTTTAGTAACGCCGGCCATTACCCCTGTCCCGGAAGCCCAACGTCAACGTCGTCGTCGACAATAGCGTTCTTAATATGGAACTGTAGCGGTAACGATTCTCGATTCCCGTCTATCCCCAAGTTCCATCATTAAGCCTCGACTAACCCGACGAATGCTGTAATAATTATAGCTTCGACAGCGGTCCCGGCGTAGTCAATCTCAACCAAGCATCGAAACCTTGGTATCATCGTGTAGAGGAAAATCTCAATAGCACCCCGGTTTTGACGGAATCGAGTTTCGACGTCGGACGAGGAAGATACGAGTCTCTAAAGCTTGAGACGTGAATTAGATAGTTCAGGTACCATTACTGTCTGTTCGAAAAGTATAAGGACCTAGAGGGTAATTTCGTTTCAGTCTGTGATAAAATGTCCATGTTAGTTCCCCATATTTCCGGTACGAGCAGCTTAGTCCCCGGAGTTTTAAACTTTTTATATTCGATCGAAAATGGGGTTTTCTCTAGATTATTATTACTTTTGTTGCCGTACAATGGGTATTTTCGTGGTATGATAATTTTATAAATATTAACAAATCAATAGGGTGTTTGGATATTAATTCAGTCATGTTATTTAATTTTCAAGTAAGCGCGATTATGTGTGTGAGGCATCCCACCGCCTACTTAAGGTGGAGGCACGCGTTGTGCTATGTATGTGTGTGTTTATGATGTATGGATGATGATAATTGAACCCCCGGGCGGTTGGGCCACTACTGGACGCGGTAGATGGTCGGGTCACATTCAATTATGTATGTGCTATGTAGTGGACCGGGCATGGACTAGACGGCGATACGTAACACAGTACCATTGCCTTGAGGATAGGGACACCGGACGGCGATACGTAACGTGGTGAACCCTAATGAAAGTATATAAATTAAGATAGAAGTACAGAACTTCTATAAGCTATCCGAGGCTAAAATATTAAGGATGAAAGCGAGAACGGCTTTCATGTAGGAGGAAGTAATTTCCAATAATGTGTTAGTAGGGCTGGCTTAGGCAAAGACCTTAGAAAGTAACGACGAGACTGACCCCTTCTCACTCACCAGGTGTGGAAAGGGGAAGAGGGCAGAACCAACACCAGGAGATTAATCAAGGAAGTCAGCCGCGTCAAGCTTGAAGATGTCGGAAGGATCAGGGTATTGAGATGGGACCCTTTTTATCATATTTGGCTTTATTTCCTGTCCTATGAGTATACTGGGAAACTCAGGTTTTCTGTTCAAGTGTTTGGATTGAGATTTGCCCAACTGTTTAGGGCTTTTCATTTAAGATTTTTGGGTTATTGTCGTTGGTTGATTTTTGGTTTGACTTAAAAACATGGTTTGGGTTGCTCCGGAGTAACCGGTTTTTGTTTTAAAGTTTTGGTTTGATTTGTCCAAAAAGATCGGGTTGTTTCATGATATTACATAGGTATGATGTTAATATGATAGCGATATAATGTTGACATGATGTTGGTATGATAGTGATATGATTTTGGTATGAGGTCTTATGTTTGTCAAAATAACTTGATAACATCATATCAATGTCATATCATGATATAGTGATAGTATCATGATATGAAGTTCGTATGATGTTTTACGTATGGAAAAACATTTAAAATATATGTAATTCTGTAGATCATAATTAATGTGTTCTTTGTATACAATTTTTTTTTTATTTTGAGTTAAAATGATGGAGATAAGTCATCATGTCACTCATATCATGATGATAAGATAGAAATGAAAGTGATTTTACTACAATTGACACGTTTTACGAAGATTTTAATTTTCTTTGATCAAAATATAGTAAAATGGGCATCATTGTATAGATCATAATTAATGTGATCTTTCTATGTAAGTTTTTAAATTCCGAGTTAAGTCAAATGCTATATTATCAGTTAAAACATAGGGGATTTAGAAAAAAATGTATTCTCTCTCCTCTACATCTGTGTCAGAGTGTCAGCAAAATTACCAGTCCGCCCCTCTTATTTTTTTGTTGCGAATGAATCTAGACCATTAGATGTTGAATGAATTGAGAGTTGCAGTGATGAGCTTTGTATCTTATCACTTCCCTTTAAAGTTTAAATTTGTACAAACTGGCAAATCGGGTTAAACCATTTTCATCCAATCAAGGTTCTCACCCAATTTAGCATGTCGGCCTTGTGGAGATAGTGGGTCAAGGGTTAATGGGATGACCGGTTTGGCCGGATATAGAAGAAAAGTCATTATATTGTACTCAATATTAAATCCAACGTAACAAAAATGCAACAACACTTAAATCCATCACATAACATCAACTTAGAATGTCAAATAACAAAAGTAAAGTACTCAATCTTCAAAGATAAAGGCATCCGTCTCCATCTCCATCTCCATCTCCATTGCATCAACAATATGGGAAATGTCGAAGTCAATTTCATCGGTCACATCATACGCAAAGCCCTCTCCATCAAAACACGAAATCAAATATTCATAATTATAACTAATGAGAATATCGTTATTATAAGAATGTATAGACTTTTTCATAGTTTCTATAATAGGAAAACCTTCAACATGAGGACGCTTTCTAGAAGATGATGATTCCTCCTCCTCCTCCTCCTCCTCCTCCTCCTCCTCATAAAGAGTCTTTTCAATCTCCTCACAGTCTACATCTATAGGTGGATCTTTTTCTACAATCCAAAAATCGATGTTATCTATTGCTCATAATCAATTGGGTCTTTCGTCCACGCATTCTTCAAGCACTTACAATTCAAAGAAGATAAAACGATTAAGTATATGAATATGAAGTGTTAATAACTTAACAATGTTGCATACAGTTTAAGCATTATCTATTCTTCAACCTCAAATTGTAATTCACATAACCAAGATCATTCAATCTTTGATGCTCTAATGGATTCCTCCGCTTACTATGGATCTGGTCGAACACACTCTAATTTCTCTCACATTAATAAGAAGATGATGTTTGAGACGAAATTCGAACTATGAGCTTGCTCAAATGTGGAGCATCCTCTTTAAATAGTGTCCACCATTCAACTATTCATTCAAGCAAATTATTCTAAATAAGTACATAGACTTTGAAAATATTACAACCTAATATGTAACAAACTAACAAGTGATTAGAATTGGTTACCTGGAGGTAAAGTGGAAGCACACGAGATATCTTATTTCTTCCCAAAGCTTTCAGGCTTATCTCTAAAAAGTCTAACCTCTTGCATTGCTTCCAACAGATTATCACATCGCTCTTCACTTTTAGACGATCAATAAGACAAGTTTGCACCCCACGCCCATCTCGACATTCAACCGTATACTGGAAAATTCGAATTTAAAAATATGCAGCTCCATAGATGATATATCGAAGATGCTTATCCCATTTCACATAAGTCATATACACATTAGCTCCTCTTCCATTGCCCATAAAAGTGTTCTTGATGGTCTTTTGTATCCTCATCATTCAATCATGCACATAAACCAAAGATGGTTGCTCATCAGAATCAACAACCCTCAACAGCTTCAGTGCTTTACAATAGGGAATGTCAACTTCACCATCACTAAAAATTCCTTCTAGAAATTGTTATCCAACAGATCAAACTTTATGTGTTTCCCCTCTTTAGATTTTCCCAACCTGTGAGATGTAAAGAAGCTACTTGTGACAAGTTGTTCCAGCAAAGGCCTATGGTCATACACACTTTTTAAGCATATGAAACTTGTAGCAAATCGAGTAGCTCCTCATGAACAATATGCTTCCAACCTTCTAACTTCTTCATAAAAGCTAAGAGAGATAGGTGACTTTCCACAAATGATTAACAACTGGTGCAGCACATAGAGATCAAAAAATACTCTTATACTTCTCATGAACTTTTCTCCCAGCAGCAACATAATTGACATCATTATCTATGATAAAATGCACAACATTCTCTAGCCTAATCACACCACCAAACAAGTTGGCCAAAGTACCTTAACCAAGTCCGATGCATCCAAAGATTTCGGAAAACATACGCCCTTTGGACAATAGACTAGAAAATTAATCAATGACCTTTGACTTATATCTGCCAACCATCAGTCATCAAAGCGCAACCAGTAATTTTCCAACTCTTCCGATAATCATTTATGATAAGAAGGTACCTTCAAATTGATAATGGTTGACGACAAGTGAGCTGGTATCCACCAAATTAGATGAGTTGAGCAAGAAGGATATGAGGCAAGGGGCCGACCCAAAACAGGGCAGTCCTTCATTGTCGTGTGCTTTAGCTGGGGTTGGGGGCTGACGGGCGGGCGAGGTCGTCAGCAACGAGTGTGGTCGCCGACAACGTTCGTTGCCATCGGGAGCAGGCGTGACCGACTTGGAGTGCGCGATTTCGTCGGGAGTGGGAGAGGTCTCCTGGAGCGTGCGAATCAATTGGAGTGCATGATTCTACCAGGTGACGCCGACGAGAGCAGATGATGCCGGTGAGAAGGCGCTCTGGCGACAAGAGAGAACGAGATCGTCGGTTGCTCGTGACTATGTGTAGGCTAGGTCGCCGCCCTCTGAGAGAAGAGCTAGGGTTTGTGCTGTGGAGAAAAATTGAGAATGGAAAGCCAATCAATATTCATAGCCCATAGGGATCAACATTCAGTTGAACTCCTCTTCTGTGCAAAACGGAGCTCCATGCCTAAACCAAGCGCTCGATCAAACAGGTTAACCATCTAGGTTTCTTGAGTTTGACTGGGTCTGGGTTGACCTTCACCCATTTGCAGCACTGTGTCGGCGACGGACCGTCACCGTCACCGTCTTGTTGAACCGCGGGCTGATAACCTTGCATCCAATAGACCTATCATCCAGTGACTTAACCGGTCAACTGTCAAAACCGGGTTGATAACTAGTTAACCACAATGCCACCGTCCACCGCACCGTGGAGCAGTTTCAGTAAAACGGAAAAAAGGAAAGCCTAACTGAACAGGGTTCCAAATACATTTTCCTTGTGTCGCCTGCACTGCACGAAGAGCATATCAATCTGCTCGCGAATCGAATTTAGGTCTTCCACTGCTTCTGGAAGAGGAGTATATTGCGGCAGCTGTGTGTCCGATTTTGAAGGAGGCACTTCCGATTTCCCAACTCTATGGCAGAAAAACCTCAAGCAGTGCGAGTTTTGTACTGCGGCGTATGCTCTCTTCCGCCGGAGTACTGTGAATTTGGATCCGATTTTGAGAAGTGCAACCCCTAGCTCGTCAGGAACGCCCCCGACGACCGACGTCTACCTTGATCTTCTCAAAGGTAATTCACTCCCCTCTCACTCTCTCTCTCTCTCTCTCTCTCTCTCTCTCTCTCTCCTTCGCTCAAACCCTAGTCCTCTCTCTCACTCTCCAGTCTCCATCTATGTTTGTGTGACTTGCGCCTTTTCCTATGTAATATCTGTATTATAATGTTCTACTCTATTTTACGTGATTTTTGGTGTAGATGCTAATGAAAAGGACATTGACAAGGTTTCTGATTGTCTTCAACCTATTGGCATCTCACTCGAGGGCAGTAGTGATGGGGCTGCCTCATCTACTCAATCTGGTAAAATTGTTGTTATCAAGGACAGAGTCCAGGTTTCTTCTTTCCGTTCTTCCTTGATTTTGTTAGGAATGCGACTCTTTACTGTACAATGTGAAAAGCGTACGACTCTTTACTCTTTACTCCAATCTGATTACACGAGGGACTTCAGCATCGAAAGCTGAAGAAGTTAAACGTCTTCCCGGTGGCAAAATAAAAAAGAAAGTAAGAACATTGTTAGTTGTTTATCTTTCTTCTCTGTCCTCTACTTGTGGCACTCTGCCTGGCCGTACATCGGCTTCATTTCATTTGATGTATAACTGCACAAGTATATAACCATGTATGCTGCAACTTTATCTGGTTGTGGCACTGAGCTTGCTGCTACAAAATAATTGTTAGTTTATTCTTCTGCATTGATATGCTTCTAGTTTTCAGGTTCTCTGACCTTTATCAAGGCTGTAAATGCTCAATAAGAAAGGTTGATGGTTCCTTCCTAAGACTCCATGACTATAGCTATTGGTGTCAAAACATAGCCCGACCCGATTAACCCGCCCGATCAACACGACCCGCAAACCGACCACAACCCGATTGACCCGCAACCCAACTAACCCGCAACCCGACTAACTCGCAACCCGATTAACCCGAACCCGATTGACCCGCAACCCGACTGACCCGCAAACCGATTAACCCGAACCCAACTAACCCGTAACCCGACCGACTCAACCCGAATTTCACCTAATCCACTTGAATAATTATAAAAATATACAATACATAGTTTTTCAAAATAAAGTTTTTCATTCTAAACTTAAGTAAAATTATTTTTTTATTTCGTATAAGAAATTTTAAAAATATGAAACTCACTTGATATTACGTATTTTAAGAAAATGACAAAAATTGAAACATGAAGGTCACTTGAGATCATGACAATATTAATATAATATATAAATTAAAATTTTGGTTAATTTAACTATTCAATAAAATTATCAATTAAATATAAATCAAGTAAAGTAATGTATTTGGTAATTTGATGTTTTTAAAAGAAGAGGGAAATTTTGGTGTATTCAAGTTTTAGGGAAGAGAAAGAAGAGGGAAATTTGATCTCCTTGAATTTTTTAGAAAAGAAACAAGTGGGAATTTTGGTGGTTTTGATATGTGGGAAGAGAAAGAAGTGGAAAAATTTGATTCTTTTGATTATGAAAGAGAAATAAGGAGAGAAACTTTTGACTTTTCAACTTTTTGTAGAAGGAAAGAAGAGGGTAATTTGATTCTTTCAATTTTATGGAAGAGAAAGATGAGAGAAAATTGAGTTTTTCGGAAGGAGAAAGAAGGAGTGAAATTTTAGTATTTTTGTGAAAAGAAAGAAGGAAACAAATTTGGTGTTTTCAATTTTTTGGTTTTTCATAATTTTAGCTTTTGAAATATGAATCTTTAACTTTTATATGGAGAGCATGACTAGTTAAAATTATTCTTATATGCTTTGAAGGCTAATATGTATATATGTATGTAATTTTTTATGGTCTAATAAATAAATTAATCATTAGTTACAACAATTTATACTAAACTTGATAAGTAATCTTTGACGGTTCGTTGTTTAGGATATAAAGTATATGGTTAGGGTATAAGGTATAAGATACATATGGTTTAGGGTGTATATGATTAGGGTATAAGATATTGATGGTTTTGACGGTTCTAAGTTTTTTATAATTAACATATGTTCACTTGAAGTCATTTGAAATTTTTAACGGCAGGAGATCCCTTTTTAATTTATGTTTATGGTACGTGGTTAGGGTACAAGGTATGTGGTGTAAAGTATAGGATATATGGTTAGGATATAACAATTAGCAAATATCACTTTTTATCTATGTTTTGAAAATCAAAGTATGAATTTCACTTTTAAATCAACTATACTAGCAAAATCACAACTCAAGGACATGTGGTTAGGGTATAGGTTATGTGGTTAGTGTATAATGTATTGATGGTTTAGAGTATACAATCAACAACATATACTAACTTAATATTGTTGATTGAGGGTAAAGCTAAGTGTATAGGATATATGCTATTGAGTAAGTTACGATTGAAGTCACAATAATTTTACTAAATTTGATAGCTAATCTTTAATGGTTCAATTTTTAGGATAATTCGAACAATTTTACAAATAACTCGTTTGGCAACAGTTTACTAAAGTTATTTGGACAATGAGTTATTTTGAAATAACTCCTTTTATCACTATGCTTTTGCCAAATACCACACGCCAAATACAAGATTTGCATGGTTATACTAAACGAGATACTTTAATCCAATTACTACTGAATTTATACAAAAATATCAAATAAACAATTAACGGTGTCTTTTAGTTGCAAATATTGATATCACCATTACTATTAGCTATAATACTTTACCAATTATGATTAATTACATAACAAGTTTGCAAGTCATACAAATTGATTTAACATTTTGACTAGTTTTTTTCAAAATAATAAAGTATATATATACGAGGTAGAAATAAATTGGTTAAAAAGTTGAGAAAATATTTTTAATTAGTGTAATAAAATGTGTAAGTTGGTAATGAGTAATGAGTTAAGTTACTTGATGCGCTGGCCCGAACAACCCGAAACCCGACCCGCCCGCAACCCGCCCGACCCAAAACCCGATGAACCCGCAACCCGATTTGCCCGCAACCCGATTGAATCCGACCCGATGAACCCGCAACCCGACTAACCCGCAACCCGTTTGAACCCGAACCCGATAAACCCGCAACCCGATGAACCCGCAACCCGACTAACCCACAACCCGTTTGAACCCGAACCCGATTGAACCCAGCCCGAACCCGCCCGATTGACACCTAGTTGTTCATGAAAGACCTGCCAACAGTTGGGGTTGACTGTCCTGCCATTCATGATGCTCCATCTCTATAAACATTTGTAACAAATGCATCGAGTTGGCTTATTTCCTGTCCTATTGTTTCCTTTACCTGCATCTCCTAGTCTTAAGGGGTCGAGTACTATTAGCACCGATCATTTTGGGTGTCTCCATGTATTTTTTAGCAGTAGATGCTCTGCTCACTGTGCAATTCTCTTGGTAGTGATGCAGAGGCATTACTGATCTAAACCCATTTTCCATAGCTCTTCAAGATCGTCTCACAGTTTAGCTAGTGCGTCTCATAATAAGCAGTGATAGATGCACTGATATAAATTGGAAAATTTCTTTTTTTCTATGATACCTACTTTTCCTGTGCAGGAGAAGCAAGAAGTTGTAATTGATAAGGTTGTACGCAACAAGCGCAAATGTATTACCATTATTAAAGGATTGGAACTCTATGGTGAGCTACATCTCTAAATAATTTTGATACTGTGTTTTGTTTAACGGGTTAAATGTACATTCTTAATTAGATTTTGTTTCCAGGAATCAAGCTTAGTGTTGCTTCCAAAAAACTCGAGAAGAAGTTTGCAACTGGTGCATCTGTTGTCAAGGTGCCGATATACTTCTAAAATTCTTCTACCTTAATCATCTTCCGCTTCTTATATTCTACATATGTTAACATTCAGGGTCCAACTGACAAGGAGCAAATTGATGTTCAAGGAGACATAGGTTATGATGTCGTTGAATTTATCAGACACGTGGCTTGATGTAATCTCCTTTCTTACTCTCTCCTTTTAAGTTTCTTTTATTCACCTTCTGTTGTCTGCATCTGTAGTTTCAGACATGCGTACTATTGCATTAGTTAGGCAGCTTGTCCTATCTGTTGACGATTTTTAGTAAGTTATGACGACTGACACCAAAATGAAAGGAAAAGTAATTCTCTTTTGGAACCATGATACGGGAAGTATCTTGGCATGTATTCTTAACTGTTGGCAGCCTAAATTTTGTTTTTCCTGAATGATTGATCTGTTCTGCATTCAGAGATGGCTCATACTTTGTGAATACTATATTCTCACGGTGAATTTGTTTCTTTGTTGGGTTTGCGCTTGTAGATCTTTCACTATCTTCCATTTTAGATTTTCTTTGTTCAAGACTTTCTCTCTAATCTTAAATGTTCCATACAGATTCTGTGTTTTAATGGTCTACTATTTCAGGTGCCTGAAAGTGCAATTACTCTTCGTTGAAGAAGGGGAAAGGGTTGCAGCTGGTTGACTCTGGCCTTTAGTGGAAGCTCTGTGCAACGTTTGGTGCAGGTATGAGTTGGTTTTGGGCGTTTAGGGTAAATCGAAAGAACATATAGGATGTAATTTGTTACCACTCATGGAGAAGCAAGCTCCAGATGTGAATGCAATCAAATACTGAGAAGAGCAGGATGTTTCGGTTACGTTACGTGAATTTGCTGTCCTCCACCTTGCTGCTTTTCACTGACCATTGTATTCCTCGTTTACTTTTTCATAGAGAAGCTCAAACAAAACATAACAGTGTGATACCATATTCGACCAGCAACTTGAAGCTGAATGTTGACTTATGATTCATAATCGACAATCAGCTAGTGTGCTTGTTGTGAATGACACGTCCCGTCTCTTTTCAAAAACCAAACCATAACTCAAACCGAAAACCGGTTACTCCGGAGCAACCCAAACCACATTTTAAAATAAACAAACTGACATCATTTAAGAATTTTTAACGAAAAGCCCCAACACTTGGGCAAAATCCTCAATCTCAAACACTTAAAAACGACTTAACACAGAATCTCCAGTTTATACTAATAACCATGAAACAGAATAATTAACTAATCTAACTTGACTCCTCACTAGCTTTCCGATATCCTGTCGATGTTGGCACTGCTGGTCGCCTCACCCTGCTTCTTCTCGTGATCCCCTTCTGCTAGACTATCCTCAACCTGGTGAGTGAGAAGGGGTCAGTCTCGTCGTTACTTCCTAAGGTCTTTGCCTAAGAAAACTCCTTACTAAAACACGTTATTAGCGTTTCATTCCTTTAGATGAAAGTCGTTCTCACTTTCATCTTCAACTTTATTACTCAAAAGCTTATAGAATATCCTTACTACAAATTTATCTTATAGAAGTTATTTACTTCTATCCCGACTTAATCACATAACACTAGGGAATCACCGTGTTACGTCTCGCTGTTCGGTGTCCCTACCCTAGTATGCCAACCGCGTTACGTCTCGTCGTCCGGTTGCATACCCAAACTCGGCAATGGCATTGCGTTACGTCTCGCCGTCCAGTCCATGTCCGTCAACTACTGCGTTACGTCTCGCCGTCCAGTAGTGACCCAACATACTCGATCGACTGCTGCGTTACGTCTCGTCGTCCAGCAGTGACCCGACCATCTACCGCGTCCAGTAGTGGCCCAACCGCCCGGGGGTTCCTCTTACCATTAACCAACCATTACCATCATACACCCATACATTCATACATAGCACAACGCGTGCCTCCACCCTTACAGGCGGTGGGATGCCTCACACACATATCGCAAATTACTCAAAAATTAACTAATTAATAACCTCAAATGAAAAGCGTAAACTAAAAAGACCTCGACAGAGATTTTACCCCCTTTACACTCACCTCGAAAAGATGACTCCTTAATTCCTTCCTCGAAGAAACCCTTCCTTAGCCGGATTATCTTGGGGAAACCTATTAATAAGAATACATTTTCTTAGACGACTTTTCTTGATTTAAAACCCCTTTGAATCACTAGAACATCCTCTCCTCAAACTCTAGTCCTTGAACCTCATTCCAAAGGTCCTTTAACCCCATTAAAATTTCCTAGAATTAATCCATTCAGAAACAACCATTTTTCCTAATTATTTTAGTCTTGGACGAATTTTTCACCTAACTTGAACCTTCTTAAAAATTCGGATTATAATTTTCTTATGCCAATCATGAGCGCCTATACCCTGGAAAATGATCAAAACCGTAAAAATTCCTCGGAAATATTTTTATTTAATTAAAACAAATATTAGAACAATTTCTAAAAATAGAAATACATCTTCAAAAATCCCCAAATAAAATTACAGCCATCTCCTAGACCTCTCTCAATTTATAAAATTGTTATATCCAGAAAAAACCTTCAAAGAGGCTCAAAAAAATTTAAAACATCTAAAAATACGTTTCTGAAAATTCCCAGCAGCTTTAGTGACCAATGAAAATCTGTCACTAAAAGACTGTAAAGCCTGTTGCTAAAACCCTAGAATTCTACCCTCACGAAAAATCACCAAATCAATCGATCTAACTCAAAAGGATCGAGTTCCCTTACCTCTAGAACGTGCCTAGGACTAGATTGGATGGGCCAGGACGTTGATCTCCTTGTTGATCGAACCCTCAACGTCATCGCTAACAAAATACGATCTTCGGATTAGACTATCGATAAATCGAGTTTAGAAATCGCAACTACGTCGTGATCCTTACCTAGAAACACGAAAGAATGAGATCGGGATCGAGAAGTCGGGGTCGGGGTCAGGCACAGGGGTTGGCGCTCCTTTTCTTTTCCTTTTGTTTTTCCCCTCCTCTCGCAGTGCTGCTGCTTGTCGCTGCACCTCTACACCTCTTTCCCTGGGCCAAACAAATGGGGTGAGGAGGGTTTCTCTGGGGGTATTTGGTGGGGAACTAGCTGGGGAAAAGAAGAAGAAAAAGGGAACGTAGGTTTTGGGTTGAGAGTGAAGGCTTTGGGGAAGTTGCCGGCAGCTCGGCCCTTTTGGCCGAGTAGGGTTTTTTTTTTCTTTTTTCTTTTCTTTAACACTAATATAATAATAATACTATTATTATTACTAATCAATTGGTGTAACCCTTCGTACGTAAACGTTAATCGCACCGTTCACGTATTGTGGTCGAACCCAAACCCAAACCCAAAGGTCGGGGTGTAACAGTGAAATTGTCATGCTTTTTGTTCAAGGAAATGAAAAGTTTTGTTGTTGCCTAGACCATCTTCATTTGTTTGTAATTGCAATGTGTCATTTCTGGAACTTGGGGGTCGTTTGGTTTCTGTGATTGCTACAATGCATGTATAGTTTACAATTCATCGTTGTGCTATTTTTTATGCACAGACAATACATGTATGATTTATTTGATGTGACAAAAACAATCATTTATTATGAATGAGTGTACAATCTCAGTTAAAAGCAGAGATTGTTGGGATTGTCTAGTTGAGATTGTTTTCTTCTAACTTTAACCATTAGAGAATATCTTTTAAATTGAAAAAAGGGTACAAGCGACATTTCTGTTAAAAAGTGACTGTCCATTTTATCGATTGAAAACACAAACACGTTTATACCAAACATTGTAATTTAGAATACATCAAATTTAACAATACATGTATAAATATAAATACATTTCTTGATCACAATTTACTGATTTAACAATCGGAGAAACCAAACGACATTTTATATTACTAAGACTAACTCCAACCCACAAAGCCAAATTTGGCTCCCCAAATGGCCAAATATGGTTTTTTAGCTCTCCAAACTCCATTTTCACTCCAACCCTACAAAAAGCTAAATTTACCTTCCCGCCTCCCTTTTGCAATTTATTTCAATAAACCATACTTATCTTACCTCTAATTTTTATATTTCAATTTTATTTTTTCATAGTTCATTATTACTTTTGCAAAACAAAATTTATGATGTAATTTTTTTTCAAATTTCGAGAGTTTTTTTTAAAAATTAGTCATTAATTTGTTACCGTTAACTTCGGGACCACTCCGAATATGACCGTTTTTTTGTAGCTGTTACTTTATGACCGTTTTCTGTCGCTTTGTGCACCTTATGTCTTTATAAATGATAGTTCTTCATTTTTCATCAACTCAACTGAAACTTCATCCCATTTCTAAAACAAACACATTCATCATGAGTATCTCAGATAGCTCACCATTTGGAGGAGAAAAAGAATCGAAGAGTACGAAAGGTTTCACCACCTACGTTAGAGTTTGATCGGCTGGAGGCTGGCTGAAAGTTCGTCAAGTCGTCGTCAAACTATAAGCCACCGTCACATTGATCGTGAAAGGGTCGAATGTAATCGACATCTTATGAGGGAATACTTCGATCCAAATCCAGTATACAATGCTCGCATATTCAGAAGGCGCTATCAGATGCAACCAAGATTGTGAGGTTTGACCCCTCATTTGCTCTAAGGCGTGATAGCTTTGGTCAACTATCACTATCTGTAGAGCATAAGCTTACTGGTGCGATGCGCATGCTAGCATGTAGTTTTCCAGCTGATCAACTTGATGAGTATGTTCGTATGGGTGAGAGCATCTTGATGGATGTCTTCAGAAAGTTTTGCAACAACATTATCAACATGTACGGGGCCACATACCTTAGCGCACCTACCCCTGCTGATTTAAGAATCTTACTCCGTAAAGCCTATTGTCGCGGCTTTCCTAGAATGATTGGATCAATTGACTGCATGCATTGGAAATGGAGGAATTGTCCAAGTGGTTGGGCAGGACAATACACTGGCCACATACACAGGCCAACAATCATTCTGGAGGTGGTGGCCTCCTACAACACATGGATATGACATGCTTTCTTTGGGTCACCTGGATCGAACAACGATATAAATGTTCTGGGTATGTCTCTAGTGTTTGATCGTATCGTCAACGAAAGCGCTCCATGATTTGGACCTAATTGTACACTTTTTACCCCCGTTTTGCTTTGATGTTTGTTGCAATTAAACTCCAAAAGGGTGGTTTTACGCGAGGTTTCTTTCTTTCAGTGTGTTTCAGATCCTAACAGGTGAAACCAACCCCCGGAGTCGAAAGTTGGAAGAAAAGGAGCAAAGACCGGGCAAAGAGGAGGAGACATCCACAATTCACAGTCCGTCATTGGAGTTCACGGTCTTACAGAACCGTGAACTGGAGCCATATTTCGTGAACCAAGGAGCTTCCAAAGAGGGTTTCGAGGTTACTGACGCCAAGGCTGTTCACGGTCGCTAAGACCGTGAAACAGAAGCTACAAACCGTGAACCCCAGGATGTGAAGTGGTGTGTTTTGGTTTAGGCTCTGTGTTAACGGATGCGTTTCTATGTTCATGGCCGTGAACTCAGGTCGTGAACTGGGCTCGATCTTAGTTTAAAGAGCCAACTGAAAGGAAGAAAAAGAGAAGAGACCTAGTGTGAGAAACTTCTTCTTCTTCAGATTCTAGAGTGAGAAAATGACGAACCAAAGAAGAGGAGAAGCTAGGGTTTCATCTCCAAGCAAGGATTTGGGAATTCCTCCCCCGAAGAAGGATATCTTTAACACAAAGAGCAAGGCTGTCATCTTCTTGATGGTTTTCCTTTCCCTCTTTTGTGTTCTCCCTTCTTCTAGCATGGAGTAGTCCATTCTTTCATTTGGGTGTTCCTAAACCCTAGCTACAATTATGTGAATGCTTGTAAGAATTGAATGATTTGTGTGTGGTTGTGTTTAATGTGAATGTGGAGGTATTTTTCATGATGATTGTGGTGCTATGTTGACCTAGCTTAGAGAGGAG